GCTCTAGTTCAGCTGGCTAGAACAGAAGATGAAAGATCTGAGGATGCTGAGAGATTATTGCCTCAACTGCTGCTGCTGTTAAACATACTCATTTGTTAATAGCTATCTTTTTTTTTTTTTTTTTTTTTTTTTTCTTCTTCCCAAGCATCTTTTCCAAGCTCTGGGTGGAGACTGCTTTGCATGTTGATTGGGGGAGGGGTAATCCCGTTTGCAGCTGTCATAGGCTAGTGATGAATCACTAGCCCGTCATTTGACTGCCTTCCCCTCCTGACAAGGGGAGGAGGAGGACAGACCTGCAGGAAGAAACAACAGTTGAGCCCTCCACTTAAAGACACTATGCCTTTCCCGGCTGTCCTAGCCTCGTTTTTCTCTTTTGGTTAAAAGTGAGCACTGTGGGGTTCAGCCATGTGCTCTATATAATTAAGAGCTGACCCTGAAGCACAGTTAACAACCACTTCTGATTTTCTACCCCTGGCTACAGGTGCAAACATCTCACACCAGTTCCAGTTCCGATGTTGCTCTTTCCTCAAGTTGCAGGTAAGGATTTCGTTGATATTCAACATTTTTGTAGCTTACCTTTCTGTGACCCGGATCTATTTTTGTCTAGTATTTCTTAATTATTTCTATTAATAGAAACAGCCAGGGTTGGAAATGACTTAACAATTTGTGTGTGTGTGTGTGTGTGTGTGTGTGTGTGTGTGTGTGTGTGTATTGTGTATGCACGTGTACATGAGTGCACTTGTAAAAAATAATTAAGTATGTGGGAAAGGCATAAGAGACTTGGTGTGAGGTAATTGCTGTCTGTTGTTAGGAAAACTGTATGTGGGGTGATAATTAGGAATAACTGGATTTGAAATCATTTCTTGTTTGAATTCAGATACTCAAGGAAGTAAAATGGCTCATGAGGAACTATTCTACAACTGATAGCCAACAGTCAATTTCAGCGTAGCATATAAATTAAAATGACCCTAGGTAAGGCCAGGAGCATATCTGAACATTCTATATGTAAATTAAACCCATTATTAGTTTTTAGACAAACATAATTTCTAAAACACAGTGAATACGCACTAGGCTTTAACATTTGTGCAGTCAGATTAAGCAGTATCTAAGCATCTAATTAGTGACTTTAAATAAGTCCTCTGTTCAGGAATAAGAGTAGTAAATATAAGCAGTGTCTAGTTCTGCTGTTGTCACTATGAGTCGTGGCTGTTGTGCCTTCTACAGCAGAAGTAACTGGCGAACCTAAGGCCATCTAGGAGGCATTGAACTGCTTTTTATACGGGGAAAAATGCAAAATTACAGCATTGCATAGAATTTTCTTTCTTTCCTTAAGTGACAGCTGAGGTACTCTGAGGGCTAATGGTCCCATAGACCCTCTGTGTGTTGGCCTTATCCTCTTTCAATTGGCTACGGTGTATGTAATCCACAAAGCAAACAAGTGGGCCGACACCATAATGTTTTAATGCTGCATTTGTTTCAAGGGAAACAGAGGAACAATTAAGTAGTATGCCAGAGTAAACATATGCATCAGGACAATCTCATTCCCTGTCACTGGACTGGAGGTTTCAAATGCTGTATTTGGTTTGGAACCCATTAAATAAAAATTGGGTGTTAAATTATAAAGGGAGTCTCCAGTGCTAATTTATTAGATGAAACAGATTGCACAGAATAGCGATTTATTTCTATTACACGTGTTTCTGTATTTGCCTTTTCTTTTAGGAAAATCATACTCTAAGGGGATTGTTTTAATATAAAAACAGCTGCATGTTTTCTTCTGAATGTTAGAGTAGATGCCATTGTCCGACATTAACTTATGACTTTAATTATACAAGAAGGGGGAAGATTTTAAAAACTGCAGGTGAACTTTGGCCACCTAGGACGAGTGATGCCTTTTAGTAATACATGTGATGAAAGGACTGAAGACAGATGCAAGGTGAACTATTTCCAGTCGAAGAGAATAGATACAATGGGACTTTTGTGTGTGTTTGTTTCAAAGAAGGTGTTAAGTCGTTAGCACATTAAATAGTGCTCTTATGAATTTGGTACATCTGTCAAACGGAAGGCTTCTTGTCTTTAGGTCTATGGAAATGCAGGATCTAACCAGCCCGCATAACCGACTGAGTGGTAGTAGCGAATCCCCCAGTGGTCCCAAACTCGATAGTTCTCATATAAATAACACTTCCATGACTCCCAATGGCACGGAAGGTGAGTGTCATCAGTCTCTCTTACTCTGCCCTTGTTTCTTCATCACTGTGTGCCTCTTGACTGCTTGTGAACTCTGCAATCAGAGTCACCAAACTGTTCCTCTGTTTCTCAGTAATTTGACTTAATCCATGTTCCCCATTAATTGGGAGTTGCATATTACTGGATTTTCCCATACCATAGACTGGTCTTATTTTGTATAATAGTGTGTGTGTGTGTGTGTGTGTGTGTGTGTGTGTGTGTGTTTGTACTGAAGTATATGCATGTGGATACACAAAATACTTTTTAACTTAGAATATATTTCTTTGTATTGATCTAAATGTCCCCACCACCGTATTATTTTCCATCATTTTTCTATATAACTACTGAAAAATTTGGAATGATTTCATTTTATTTTCCATTTTCTTAGCAAATACAACCAAATTTTGAAAAATGTCAACCTCGAACTGGATTACATCGGATCAGCAAAGCAGTTTTTGAGTTCTAGTTTTCCTGTGGCTTTGAACACTATATTATAAACAAGAAGAACCTAAAACTTAATACCTATAAAGTATGCAAGCCTATTTGGAAAGTATGCATAACATTTATTCACTGTCTTGAAGATTGAGTAGTATACTTTAAGCATAGCATCATAATTATTTTAATATAATTAGTACATATGAATGTTTATGTGAATTGTATGAAAATAGAAACATCTACTTCAATCCATGCATATTTCAGTCTAAGCACAGAAGGCTATATGTACACATTACTGTCTATTATGCACAGCTACTTAGGTGCTATGCATATTTTTATAACTCAGCTATATGGAAGGATATATTGCATGTTGCTTTGCATTTATTTCAACTGGAGTCTATGGAAAAATCTTCACTGATATTGTTGCTTATTTACTTGTTAAGAAGCCATAAGGTGTTGATGGATTCCTGAAAGAAGTTTTATTAGAAGTTCAGTAGATTATTCATGCTATAATTCCATTCATAGACAAACCCTTATCCATCAATTCTCCAATCATAATGATTTTTTATCTCAGGTTTTTTAGAATAAGCATAATTAAATTATGTATAATTATTTTCATTTTGGTGTGGTATTTGAATATGTATCTGGGAAAGCCTTTTAAAACTTGTAAAGCTATAAAATTTATAACAGGTAAAGCCCAAAATTAGTTATCTTAGATATAATGTGTTTTAAGGTGTCTTGATTTTTCTACCATAGTAATTATTTTTATATACAACTGTTCTGTAGCTTTCCTTACAAGTAAATATATTCCTGCACAGTGTTTGTGGAGAATGACTGTTGTCAAAAGTAGAAACTTTGTGCTGATTTAGTAACATGGTTAATCTCTGGATAAAGCAGCTTTCCACTGGAAACTTGTAGTCACATCAATCATTCATCAAGCTGAAATTTACACAAAAGCAATTTTAATGTCTAAGTAGAGTGTATAGAGCTTGAACAGTGAAAACAAGTAATCAGTCCTCTTTTCCCTCTTGTTTGAATGTCTTCAGGTGGAAGCCTGTTAGCACAGATAAGGTCTGTAGACATTTATATGGCCCATCACAGGATCCTCCTCAACTGGGCCCAGGGGATTGTCAGGGTGCTGGGCAGCCAGTGAGAGGCCAAACAAACCCATCACTGTCAAGCTAAAAAAGAAAGCCACTTAAATAAGGAAGACTAAGTCCATTAAACTATTTTAATTAATAAACTTTACCAATATACATGAGGAGGAAGGATTATAAAATAATAACATTTTGAATATGATATAGTGAAATAGGAGTAAGACATTTTCATCTTTTCAACATGTTACTGACATGCCATCTCCCCCTCTCCAAATAAGAACCACCTACTGTTTAAGCAGAGTGTCTATATGTGTGAGGTGCTCCCTTAGATGGTTTTGTGTGAATGAGATGTCGCTTGATTTTAAAGAAAATGTGGAGCACCAACATATTTCTAAATATTTAGATTTCATCCCTTGCATTACATCTATAGTCATGAATATATTGCATTTTATAGTATTTGTATACAATTAAAATTACCTTGAAATAATTAAATATTCTAGAAATTTTTTATAATTGCTCGAAGAATTCAGTCTGTGAGCACTTAGAAAGTAATTTCTTTCTTTCTTCATCCCTCCCTCCTTCTCTCCCTTCCTTTTTCCCTCCCTCCAATTTTTATTTCTTTGGTTTTCAGAGACAGGGTTTCACCATGTAGCTTTAGCTGTTCAGGAAGTCACTATGTAGACCAGGCTGGCCTTGACTCAGCGATAATTCTGCTT